CTCTCTCTCTCTCTCTCTCTCTCTCTCTCTCTCTCTCTCTCTCTCTCTCTCTATCTATCTATCTATCTCTTTCTTCTTTTTTTAGTAACAGGGATTGAACCCAGAGTGCTTAACTACTGAGCCACATCACCAGTCCTTTTTATTTTGAGACTGTGTCTCACTAAGTTGCTTATAACCTCACTAAGTTGCTGAGGCTGGCTTTGAACTTGTGATCCTCGTGCCTCAGCCTCCCAAGCAGCTTGGATTACAGGCATGTGCCAGTTTGTCATAATCACCATCTTGAATTTAGTACCTTCTTGTTGCTTTTTAACTTTTCTTTGCAATGCTGGGAATTGAACTCAGGGCCTTATGCGTGCCAAGACAGCACTCTACCACTGAGCCACATCCCTACCCCCCTCCTGGCTACTTGCTGTAATTCTCTCAATGACTCTGCATTGTGGATATTGCTAGTTACCCTAATAACATATCACAACATAACATGAAATGGAATGCAACATGGCTCAGTGCTTCCTAGCAGCAAAGAAGAAAGTACAACCAGTGTCAGTAATGTCACTTACAGGGTCTGAAACATAGGAACACAGATGTTTCTCTGCAAAATCATGATTGCCCCTGAGTCCTAAGGGCAAGGTTGACCTCTTTTGGTCACTCCTTTTTCTATGTTAGTTTCCTAGATTGAAGCCTTAATCATTTAACTTCTCTTCTTGAATGTATGCCTTTCTATTTTTAAGACATCATATGCAAAAATTACAATTTCTGATTCTAATTTAATATGATATTGGGGATATTTATTTGTTTTCTGAAAATTCTTAAATGCCCAGCTCACAGTGGCATAGACCTGTAATCCCAGCAGCTGTGGAGGCTGAGGCAAGACGATTGCAAGTTCAGTCTCAGCAACTTAGTGAGGCCCTAAGCAACTTAGCAAGATACTGTCTTTAAATGAAATATTTAAAAGGGCTGGGGAAGTGGCTCAGTGGTTGAGAACCCCAGGGTTCAATCCTCAATACCCAAAAACAAAACACCACACACACACACACACACACACACACACACACACACACGCCCATTCTCGCCTTATTGGCTTAGACTTTGCTTCTGCACAGTTCTAGTGTTTATTATACTTTCTTGACTATGGTGAATTGAAAACTCTATTCTGTGTCCTTCTCTGTGCCAGGGCTGTCAATCTCTCACATTCCTATTTACAAAATTTGTCCCTAAATTGTACAGAATGTTGGGCAGAGGAGTGGGTTGTCACAATGTCTGTGGCTCTGCAGTTCCAGTGAGGACCAAATTCCCTGGACATAGGGGATAGTCAGGGACAGCATAGAAAAATGCAAAGTGCAGGAATACCACCGTAGTTTCCACAAACTCAAGCATCCTCTTCCATCCTCCTCCATGAAGGCCATGTGCCTAAACAATCATTTGTCTATCCAACTTGACAAATACGTGTTGAGTGTCCACTGCTTGGAATGCACAGCGCAAAGGTATAATTCCATACTGGGGGGGGGGGTCTCCTGGGAGTCCCTGCCTGACTGATACAGCTTAGCCAAGGAGCCAAATATTAAATAAGTGTGCATGCCATTGCGGTACAGAAGTGTGCAATTACAAAATGTGTTGAGTGCTCAGTGTATAAAAGAGCACATGAAAGAGAGTATCTGCGAGAAGAGG